CATTATTATTAGTATAATTTTTATTAATATTATTGATATTATTATTATTTTTATTATTTAATTAATAATAATAATAATTAATAATAATTAATATTAATAGTATACAAAATAATGCAAAGAAAACAAATACTTAAAAAATAACATTATTTTTTATTTATCAAGATTTTCTAATAATACTATATTATCCTAAACTTGACAAAATGCAGAAAAATTTTGACAGAGAGAAAAGAAGATTGATGTTCTGAAGAATTGTTTATTTATTAACTTTTTTGTGTATATTTTTCTTTCAATGTGCTTCCATTTTTGGTCAGTTTATTCTACTTTTCTACACAATTATTGTCACTTTCTTTCTGCACTCAAAACTTCCAATTTCAAACGTTGAGCAAGTTTACTTTTACTCTAAAGATTACTTTAAATTATCAGTAGGGCAAAGTTGTGGTGTCTGTGGGGAACAAATATGAATCCCATGTGATGGTTTATAGTAGAAATAATGTTAGCATGAATACCTGACCAATATACACTTCCTGTGTTGCTCTGGAAATCTGTCAGGGAATTATTCTTGTTTATATATATTATATGTGGAATATGCTTCCAGATAAAACTTAATTGTGACAGAGATATTATCAGTCGATGGATATTTCTGTCTGTCATAGTTATCTAACGTAACTTTCTTCAGCAAAATGTAATTTCATATCAAGACCTGCATTGACTCTGAATCTGGCCCTTTCCATAAGAAGACTACTCCCCTCACTCCTCTTGTATCAAGCAATTAACTTGGAAGTAATAGAGGAAAGAGAGCCAAAACAAAGAAAATTTCATATCATTTTTATAGTCTGGAAATTTCTCAGGTATTCATTTTAAAATTTGTAATCGATACAGTAAATGTGATGACATTGTCCACTGATTAAAAAAACACGCATTTTATACTGTTTATCTATATTTAGCCTTGAAAGAAAAGTAACTTAACAAGCTATTAAATGATTTATAAACATGGATTCCATAATGCATATTTCTGATTGATTACATTAATAATTAATAAAGAATAAGGTATTACAAATGTTTAGTAAGAACATTGCCTTCTTTTTTAAATTTAGCTTGTTCATTATTTTCTTGTAAAGTATTAGATGTGTAACAATTAATTATATATTTTGCTCATAGCTACAAGTGTTTGAAATTTATACTTGTTAACAATACATTTACAGCTGTTTAGCAATATTGTAAAATTTAATTATGCTGCAGCTAACGCCAAACCATAATCATTTTATGCAAATCATAGACAAATAATATATTGAATGTCTTATGTATATATTATTTATAGTATATTATATCATAAAATATATCAATGTTGGGCACAAAATACTGTAGATAAAAATAATTTTTGGCCTATTTAAAAGGGAAATGAAAATTTTATGATTTTTGGAAAAAATATTATATATTTTTATGTATGTATTATTATGATATTTAAAAATGAAAAAAAGGATTCTTAAATGTTAAACTTTTAATACATTAAAAAAATTCCCCAAACAAAATGAGTAAAAAAAAAACAAACATGTTTGAATATTTTTGGGTTTTTAAAAAAACAGAAATAAAAAAGAAAAGGATAAAGAATATCAAAGTTGACGGGAAAAGGGGGAAGCATAAGTTAATTAGGATGAAATAGCTTTAAAATTTTTGGATTTTTTTGGATTTTTTTTAAAAAAATTTTTTTTGGGTTTTTTCAAACCAAAAATTTTAAAAAAAATTGTTTGTTTTTTTTTACAACATTTTTGTTTTGGTTTTTTTTCCCCTTGTAATTAAAGTATCAAAAAATTTAAAGTTTTCCTTTACCCCCATTTTTTTAAAAATCTTTTTAATTTTTTTACTTTTAAAAAAAATTTTATTTTATATTTTTTTATGAAAAATTTAAAAACTTTATTTTTTTATTTTCCCCAAATGAAATAAGGGTTCTTTTATTTTAACTTTTTTTTTAAAACTTTTTAAAAGGTTTTCAAACAATTTAAAAGAACCCCCTTTTTTTTAAAAATTTGTAAATTTTAAAGGGGAAAATTTTAACAAAAATTTTATTAAAATTTTTTGTAGAAATTTTTTATTTTTAAAAAACCAAATGAAAAAAAAGGTTCCCCAAAATGTTAACTTTTTTTTAAAAAAAATTTTTTAAAATTTTTTAAAACCAAAATTTGAGTAAAAACAAAAAAACAAAATGTTTGAATTTTAATGGGTTTAAAAACAAAAAAAAAAGAAAATTTAAAAAAGGTTTAATTTTAAGGTAAAGAAATTTTTCCAAATTAAACCGGGTTTGGGGGGGCCCTTTTAAGTAATTGGAAACTAAAGGGTTTCCCAAATTTAAAATTTTTTCCCCTTAGGATTTTATTTAAAAATTATTTTTGGCTTAGGTTATCACCCTTTATTTCAATTTTTAATTAAACCAATTTAACCTTTTATTTTGATAAATCACCCCCCTTTAATGCAAATCTTAGTACACCTTTTTAGAAATGGGGAAATTTAATTTTTCATGAAAGGATGGCCCCCCCCTCAAATTTCCCTATCTAAAAACCCCCCGCCCCCCTGAGGATTTCCCCCTTTCCCGACCAGGCCCCTTTTTTTGGGGTACATCGCTGTGTTTCTTTAGTGGGCAATTGCACTTTTCTTTTCAATGCTGCACCCCAAATTTTAAAATTTTCGTCCTTTTTTCCCCACAAATAGAGATTTTTTTTTGGTTGTATTTGGTCGCCTGTGCGTTTTTAAATTTTTTAGTTTGAAAAAAAAAAAAAACCCAAAAATTTTTAGAAAAAAAAAAAAAAATACTTTTGGTTTTTTTGTTATTAAAATTCAGTAAAACTTCACTTGTTCTTTCATATAATTTATCGGCTAAAATGTTTTCTTGCTCTGTTTTTTCTGAAATGTATAAATCCCAATACGGTGTATAAATGAATTGGTGAAAGATTATAGCATTTTACAAATGGTGGTATTATACTGGGATTTTTTCATTATATTTTACTTTTACTAAGTAATGTCGGTGTTTCAGCATCATAATGAACGGCAACTGTGGTGGGCATTCTGACACTGGGGAGGAGAGAACTGACTTGGTGTCAATGACAAACTCCTATAGACACCAATACAGTAATGTCAGTGCTAAATCAAAAGCACTGACACTTGTACTAAATGGCACTGGGCCAGGAAATGGGCGTTTAACATTTTAATTTGGAATGGCATGAAAGGGTTTAAACTGAGTGTGCTGTGTGCCATTTTACATACTGGGCTGTGTTTAGTACATGTTGGGTCTGTAAGCCACATTGCTATGCACAGCCATGTAAAGCATGATGTAGCATGAGCTCACAGGGGCGAGAACCAGAATTTTTTAAGAGAGACAGTCTCCATCCTCTTCCATCGCCTCTCTCCTCAAGCTGATGTGGTGAGCGACTCTCGACTCACCAGCGCGCGCGATAGATGTAATATAGGCCACCGGTCATAGAGTAACCTGTTGTCATGCAGCCAGCAAGGAGCAAATGGCAGCAGAGTAACTATACGTGATTTTGCGACAACCTTTGCCGCCCTCTTGTTGCAGTACTTCTACTATAGGGCGGCATGGGAAGGCAGTCTAAACAAGGAGCTCCTTCAAGTGGATGAATGGAGAACAAAGAGGTTTGGGTTCCCGTTGTAAAGATATAAACAAACTCCGGTGCCGGAATTCCTCTGTGAAAAGCCTTCTTACATAGTAGTAAAGAACTATAATATTTTCCCCCCTGTGTGAAACAATAACCCTCCATCTTCAGAAAACTTGCTCCTATCTGAAGGTACATAATACTAACTCACATTTTTCATCAAAATCTAACTAAAAATATATTCCTGAGTTACAATATTATTTGACATCTGGTAATGGTGATTTGTGTCACATCATCCTGGAATAACAAAATATACCAGTAGGTCCAAAAAACTAATTTCTTTATTCAGTTTTGGATAAGGTCGGATGAATAATTAAAACCCACTCACAGATTTCCCTGCAATCCTCTCCAGTAGAGGTTTACACTCACACCTTTTGTCTCAGTGACAATGGATGTTACCACACAGTAATGAGGGAAACCCTTGCAGGAAATATCAGCAACAGAAATAACCAATCTCACAAACAGTGTCTGCTGCTTCACCTAAAATAGTAAAAACAAAATAATGAAAGTTTCCCCTCACTTACTTACCCTACATGTAGCCACGCGAAGAGCATATAAAAATCCAGGTGGGTACTAATACTTATCCCAGGCCTAAATACTACAAACATACTAAATACCCAGGTGGGTACTAATACTTACCCAGAATCTAAATCTGAGAAAATGTTTTTATCTGGACGCATACTTTACAAGGCCACTTTAGGATGCCTTAAATTGGGCATGTTACAGTAACTGTTCTTGCAGGTCCAGGGACCCGGGGCCTGTTATCTCACTTTCCTGTAAAAAATATTTTCTTGCTGGAAGTCTCTGCAGCCCCCGTCTTGAATTCAGAGCTTTGAGAAAAAATATTGATATATTTTTATCTCCACACTGAATATTGTCATATATAGGAACATTTTGTATTTCAATAAAAATGTTGAACCCTAATTTGTGGATCCTGTTACTACAGCCTGGACTCCCAGAACACTACCACACAAATACAAATAAAATATGTAATGTATGAAAAGTATGTATTTTTATTTCTAATGCTGCAGTAAAAGCTGACTATTTTTTCTGTATCTTTTATATTGGTCAAATTAAATTACGCTCTGCTGCTTTATGTATAGCTGCAGAAATGTTGCTTTTTTGAGCAGAATTCTGAGATTTCTGGGTAAAGAATTTTATCATTTGGCAATGCTGATTGATAATAATAGGAAACTGGTTCAGGATTTCTGCAACAAACAAATTTTGAGTCAACACTTTTGGAGGTTTTTTCGCTCTCTTTTTTATACTTTAGATTGTTAGAAAAATATGCATTATTGTATGGTTTCATCAAGGAAAAATATGAACACAGATATTGTAATGAGGAATCTGACAATTGATTTTTTTCTCGCTGGGCTGTCTGAGCTTCCGGCTCTTCGTCTCCCTCTCTTTCTCTTCTTCCTTCTCATCTACCTTCTGACATTGGTCTGGAATTTGCTGATCATTGTCCTCATAGTCACCGACTCTCACCTCCATGTTCCTATGTACTTCTTTCTTGGGAACTTGGCTGGTTTGGACCTCTGTTGTTCTTCAGTCACCGGCCCACGAATGTTATTTGACCTTCATACCCAGACAAGAAATATTACCATCATGGCTTGCATAACCCAAGTCTTCTGTTTTATATCCTTTGCCTCCTCTGAAATTTTTCTGTTGGCTGTTATGTCCTATGACCGATATACTGCTATTTGTCATCCATTGCATTACACACAGATCATGAATTGGAAACTGTGTGTACAGTTGGCATCCATTGTGTGGTGTCTCGGTTTTGCCTATTCTTTAGTTCTCACTCTTTGTGCCCAAAGGTTATCTTTCTGTGGATCACATATTATAGAAAGCTTCTTCTGTGACCTTCCACAGTTGTTTCAGATCTCCTGCAGTGACATCTACATCAACATTCTGCTCACCTTTCTCCTGGGTGGAACCCTTGGAGTCGGGTCTCTGATACTGACCATCCTTCCCTATGTCTATATCTTCAAAACTGTTCTGAAAATGACAGTTAAAGGTAAAAGGAGTAAAGTTTTCTCTACATGTACCTCTCACCTGACAGTGGTCTTCGTTTTTTACTTTTCTGTTTTTTTTAATTATCTTCGCCCAAGCACTGGTAATCACTTTGCTGCCGATAAAGTGGTGTCCGTCTTTTACACCATAATTGTTCCTCTCTTCAATCCTCTGATATACAGTCTAAGGAACCAGGATTTCAGAACGGCCTTTCACAATGTTTTTTTATAGGAAAATTTTTCACCTTCCAACTGAAATACAGAACTCACCTTAGCAAAACCCTCATTACGAGATATTGGAAAGTGTGGCATCCATCCACTTCGGGAAAGCTACCCAAAAAAGTGTTTAAAACAGCAATTTAAAGCAGGATTATTCAGGAGCAGCCCGTTTATGGCTTCCCCGTGACCCCCTGTGCATTATGGTTCTGATGGCGTATGTTCCTTCCCATCTTCCAATAGCTTTGGTAATGTATTAATTTTATGCTTTGACGCTGATAAAAGATGTGTCTATTTCATGCTGTAATGCTAACATTATTACTGGTGTGTGTTATTATGCAGATTGTGATGACTATAAGATATATCCTCTTGTGTGTCGTGTGATAATAAAAGTTGAGGTTTTGACAGTGCAAGAATATTGCAGTTGGATTCTGTTATTTCTTGGAGTGCCGGGTGAATGCTATGATGTTCATCCCGTAGTGGGTCTTTCACATGCTTAGAATAATAACGGTGTAAACACTGGTAAAACGTACCTGTGTGTGTGACTATTGCTTTTAGTTATTGCATCCAGCATTGTATTACACTGGGGATTGCAGGTAACATAAGTCAATGTAACATGACGTCAATGGTTGATGTGAAGATGTCATATATAGAAATGCTAGAAATACCTTCCATATTGGCAAACGTTTGACAATTAGTAGGGATGCCCGAAATGCCCAAGTTTAGTCCAACTCTAGGTTCAGATCAAATTGTTGGCTCATCCCTACTAATCACTCTATGGTTCAATATTTAAGGTTAACAATTAAAGTTTACTGTAAACTACAGAGCCAAATGTCTCCCTCAACAAATTGTTTTAGCCACTTGCCCACCCTTTCTTCTCAGGCCAATTTTCAGTTTTCAGTGCTGTTGCACTTTGAATGACAATTGCGCGGTCATGCAACACTGTACCCATGACATTTTTAGCATTTTTTTCCACACAAATAGAGCTTTATTTTGGTGGTATTTAATTGCCACTGGGGATTTTATTTTTTACACTATACACGAAAAAAGATCAAATCATTTGAAAAAAAAAAGTTTTTCTTTGTTTCTATTATACAATTTTGCAAACAGGTACATTTTCTCCTTCACTGATGTATTTGATGAGGCTGCTATGATAGGCAGCACTGATGGGCACTGATAAGGCAGCACTGGTAGGAATTGATGAGGAGGCACTGATGATGCTGCACTGATATGCAGCACTGATGGGCACTGATAGGTGGCAATAATGGGCATTGATAGGCAACACTGATAGGTGCTGACTGGTGGCACTGACTGGCGACATGATGGGCGGCACTGATGGGCACTGATGGGAGGAGCTGCTGGGTACTGCTGAGTGGCACTGCTGGGTGGAACTGATGGGTGGCACTGCTGGGCGGCACTGCTGGACACTGATGGGCATTGATGGGTGACACTGCTGGGTACTGATAGGTGGCACTGCTGGGCACTGATGGGTGCCACTGCTGGGAATTTTTGGGGCTGCACTGATAATCAGGGCACTGATAATCAGTGCCCTGATTATCAGTGCAGATATCCCCTGTGGCACTTGCTGGTTATTGGCAGTACTTTCCTCATACTGTGACAGTGTGAGGACAGTGGTGTAGATAACCATTAATTGGCAACAGCTGAATTTACATTAATAGGACACAGCTGTTCACAGGACACAGCGACATCGCCGGGTGTGTGCTGCTGGGGGCTTGAGGAGGGCACGTTCTGGGAGGACATCATATGATGCCCTCCCAGAACTGGACAACCGCGTTGTAGCTGTAATTCGGTTATAGCCCGGTTGTCAAGTTGTTAATCCAATATTTGTATGATGGTCACAATTTTAGAAGGTTTACAACAATGGTTTTCATTACCTTTATGATCTATACATTTAAAACAAAGTGTCTTCACCTCAATCATTCACATCCAAGCACAAACCTTAAAGTTTAGAACTTTCAAGTGTTTTGATAAAAGTTGGAATTAGTAGATTTAGGATTTACTCACATTTTGGGATCACCAAAAATAACATCTATTGTATTCCAGTATTGTGTGTATACTTCACAGTGCATCATGTTCAGTGTCTGTCAATCACTCCATAGATTGGGGATGTAAAAAAAAAAAAAAGTCTATTTAAAAGAATGGAATTACTTTGACACCATTACTTATCATGAGAAATATTGTTTTCCATAGTTCTGACATTTCACAAAGCTGCTTGAGAAATTTCTCTGCTCTTTTTCTGTAGTTTTACTAAAAGAAAAAGAAAAATTTATTCTAGTTATTTAAAAATTAGGACAATAATTTATATCATTGTAAATTTAAAAATGATCAAAATGTATGTGGGGGGCAGCTGGAGAACAAACCTTCCTAAACTTGTCATCTTTGTTCCCTTTTTTTTACCTTTTCCCAGAATTTTTATGTTTCTAGATTTGTTCTCCAATGGCTCAACTTTGAACCATTGTATAGTTGATTCTTTCCAGTATCACGACTCCCCATTTCAAACTTTTATAAAATTGGGGAAACATTTATTAGTAAAATGAGAGATGAAAGGGCAAAGTCTGGAAAATATAAAAGCAGTTATTTATTTCCAAAGGCCCAAGGAGTGTGTCGCTGAGGGATCAATAATTCAGATGATGGTTGGTTTTCTCTAGAGATTCATCTTCCAGAGGATCCATGTTGTAAATAAATCTCTGATGAACACAGAGCCAATCTACACCCCCGTGTGCTCCGGAGATGTCAGGGGAAATTTCTGTATTATAAATATATGGATGTGTGGAGGTTGAAATGCTATTGTCACCACATAGATGTCACATAGATTTTCCGTTGTATTCATTTAAGTTTCTTCAGCAAAATGTATCAACATCAGACTTCTACCAATGAGCTGACCCTTCCAGAGGTGACCCCCCCTCACTCCTCTCCTATCAGAATGTACCTCTGCCAGGGGGATCACTGACAACTAGGAGCTAAAACAAGGAAAATTCTTCATTTTACCCATCAGGCCATTCACAGGTATTTATTTCCCTCAATATTTGTTTTACAGGGACGATATTTATTTGTAAAACCCAACCAATTCCAAATGTTGTAAACTTTTTTTTTTTTTATCAGAGATGAAATATAATCAGTCAGAATATTTTTTTCCCCTTACATCTACTGTAACATTTTTACATATGACAAAACAATGATTGTATTGATTTGTTTTTATTTTTTCTTAATTGAGGCAAAATGTATTTTGGTAAAGAGTCACATTTTATTTTCTGTGCAAACCAATAAATATGATCCTACACATTGTATCCTGTATCTTTGTTGTTAATATATTGTTAATATATGTTTCCATCAAAGAGACACATTGTATGTGTCTCTTTGATGGAAACATATTTTAATAATCTATGAAGCATTTTGTTTAAGGGCAGCACAGTGACTAAATGGTTAGCGCTTCCACCCTGGCAGTACTCGGGTCATTGGTTCAAATCCCAACCATGGTACCACCTGCCTGGAGTTTGCATGTCTCCCTGTGCCTGCATGGGTTTCCTCCAACTACTCCAGTTTCCTCCCACACTGCAAAGACATGCTGGGAGGTTAATTGTCCCCTGTCTAAATTGGCCCTTGTATGTGTATGTATGAACGTGAGTTTGCAACCTTAGATTGTACGCCCCCTGAGGGTTAGGGACTGATGTGAATATACAATATACATATATGTAAATATATAAGTACCTGTTAATATTTCCTAATCTGATTACATTAATAAGAGGCTAACTACTGACACCGTTAAAGAAATCACTTCTTTATTCATTAATAATGTACAGTATATATTAATTATCTTCATAGTTAGTTGCATGTACATCTGAATGAAAAAAAATGGATACAGAATAGTTTTTTTTTTAATTATAGCTAAATTATTTTATTATACTGGACACTGATCAAATAAATTTAGTTTGCATCAAGTCACATATTACATATAAAAAAAAAAACAACAAAAAAAGAAACTATATATATATATTTAGATACAGGGCAGGTAGAGTCACATTTTGTGTTATGTACAAGCTGATCAAAGTGATGCTGTTGTCACTCTCTACACACAGGGGTTTATTTACTAAAGCTGGAGAGTCCAAAATCAGACTCCCTTCTGCATAGAAACCAATCAGCTTCCAGGTTTCATTGCCAAAACTTCATTGAATAAGCTGAGGTTAGAAGCTGATTGGTTTCTATGCAGAAGGGAGTCTGATTTTGGACTCTCCAGCTTTAGTAAATAAACCCCATTGTGTTTCTTTAATTTAAGGAAACAGAAATGAATGATCTATGAAATGTTTTATTTAAGATCATTTTTATATCTAGCCTAGTTGTTTCCTGTGGTTGATTTTTCTCTGATGTTAATAAAGAGTTAAGTGTTGATACATTTAAAAATATTATTAATATAAATACAAGTTTGGCCCTGACTCACCAGATTGTAAACATTGATGATTAATACTATTTCAGACATTCTAAAATGAAAGGGAACCTGTCATAAGAGAATATTGGAGCCTGCCATTGCTGAGCTCCCTCTTTAACCACTTCCAGTCCGGACACTTTTACCCCCTTCCTGTCCAGGGCAATTTTCAGCTTTCAGTGCTAGCACGCTTTGAATGACAATTGCGCGGTCATGCAACACTGTACCCGTATGAATTTTTTACCATTTTTTGAGACAGA